TGACCGCCGCCGCCGCCTCCTCCTTTCCGCCGCCTGAGGCCGCTCGCCCTGCAGGGAAAGGTATTGCAAAGTGCCGCCGCCCGGGGAACCTGCAGAGAGCCGGGAAGACGGGGCGGCGGCGGCAAGAGGAGGAGGAGGAGGTGGTCGCCCGTGGCCCCTCCGGGGGTGGGCGGGCGACTGTCTGACCCCCTTCCTCTGCTTGGCTGGAGGCTCCGGGGAGTTGCGCCCGTGCCTAACGGGAACGCGTTCCTTTTCCGTGGAGGGGGCAGTTGTGCAATTGCGAGTGCACCGGCAAGAGCAGCAGCAGCAGCGCCGCCGCCTCCCCTCAGTCTCGCTCTCTCCCCCCCTCAACCCTCCGCAACCCGGCCGGAGGGAGGCTGCCTGCCTGCCTGCAAAGCGAGGGAGGGAAAGAGGGAAGGAGGGAGGGAGTCTCCACCGCGGCGGCGCGCCCCCGTCCTCCTGTCCGTCCGCCGGTCCCGCCGTGCACGAGCCGGGCGCTCCCGCGGCGCCTCCGCCGCCATCTTCCCTCCTCCCTGCCTGTCTGTCTGTCGGTCGGGAGGCCCTTTGTCTGTCCGCCGCCCCCCCCCCGAGCCCCCCGCGCCGGGGAAGGGTAGGGCAGGACCCGGGGGGGAGTGGAGGCGCCTTTGGAGCAGCCGCTGCAACAACAACCGCAGCAGGAGCAACAGGCCGGGCAGGCAGGGGCGACGTCTCCCGGCCCCCCCCCAGACACATAGACAGCCCGGGGTCTCCCCCCCCTCCCTCCCTCCCCACCTCCGATCGCACCTCCAGCGGCGACGACGGCGGCCTTCTTGTCTCCGCAGGGGCGCCCCCTCCGGGGGGGAAGCCATGTCCCGTCGGAAACAGACCCCCCCCAATAAAGTTCACTGTGAGTAAAGGAGCGGGGGCGGCTCCCTTCACCCCCTCACCCCAACCCCACCCCATCCCCATCCCCTTTGGAGCCTCATCCTGACCCGGGGCTGGGAGGAGACCCTGGACCCCCAAACCCCCCCGTCCATGAGACCCCTTGAAGCCCCCTTTCCGCCTCTTTTTGCACAGGGGCTGAGGGGCCCCCCAACTCTGATGAGCTCTTGGGGCTGAAATGGGAGACGCTGGTCTGCTGGCTCCCCCCCCCCAAGCGGTCTCCTCTCCCCCCCATCTTGCCTTCTGCCCGTCCAGGGGCCCCTAGGCTTGGCTCTTTCCGTCGGGGCTGGCTGGCTTCCACCACCCCAGGCAGGGGGAGGGGGGCCCCTGGCTGGGTTCTCCCCAGTGACTTTGCAGGAGAAAAGGAAACCCATGGATGAAAGCCTGCAATTAATCCAAGCCAAGAGGAGGGAGAAAGAGGCTGACCCTCAACTTGGGTTGCAGAACATGGACTGGGTGTGTGTGTGTGTGGAACTGCTGGAGCGGAGAAGTCATCCGGTTCAGGCACCTGCAGGAAAGAGACCGGTCATGGTCCGGCTGTGGTCTAGAAACCTCTGGCTTGTGCAGATGTAGCACCGTTGAAGGAAATGCAGGGAGGGGGCAGGTCTTTGAAGCCTTCCCGTGCTGGCCCCACAAGCAATAGGGTGCTGGACCTGTTGTGTGCTGAACACAGCTGAAGACATTTGTATTTCCAGGTCATGCTGGAAAGGATCCCCCCCACCCCATTGCTTTGCAGGAAAGAAGGGTTTGGGGGCAAGCTGTTTTGGGGAATGGCGCCCCAGGCATTAGCCCCATTCTGGGCCACCTTCAGGTAGGGGAGACGATCTCTGGGCACGGAGGGGTTGAGAAGGAGGTGGGCTTCTCCAGGGCAGTTGGGGTGATGTCGATTTCCTCCCCCTTTGTGCTTCCAGGGGAGCAAGTCTTTGCCGGGATTGAAGAGCACACGCGGCAGGCCATGATGAAGAGGGATTTCCGGGGGCTGCTTGGAGCCCAGAGTCCGTCGGCGCACCAGGAGCAGCAGGAGGAGGAGGAGGACTCCAGCAGCAGTGAGTGTCGCCCTTCTTTGGCCCAGAAGGAGCAGCAGGCGCTGCCTGTGGGCCGGAGGGGGGGGATGTCTTAGGAGGCCTTGCTTGTCACTAGGCGATGGGGGCAAAGAGCCACTCCTGTGTCTTCTTCCAGGTGACAGCGAGGGCGACGAGGAGACCACCCAGGAGGAGGTCTCCTCTCCTGCCTCCGAGGAGGATGGCGCTCCAGCCACCGTGAAGAAGGAAGAGGAGGCTACGGAGCTGCTGGGCCAGAGCAAGCAGGTGAGCCCGGCCTCGGAGGAAGGTGTTCCTCCTTCAGGGTGGCATAGCGCTGTCTGTGTGCAATGAAAGTCTCTTAAGAACAGGGGTCCAGCCTCGACCAGATCCCCCCCCCCCTTGATGTGCTTGAGAAGGGGAGAGCGAGGGAAAGAACAGAGCGGACTGCTCCGCGGTGGGACCGTCTTGCTACCCTTTGTGTAGCTCTTGTGGCCAGGTGGTGATTCCAGTGTGTGCTCCAGAGCTTTCTGGCATTCTATTCGATGAGCTTGGTATGAAAAAGGTGGGGAAGAGGTTAGGTTTCCCAAAGACTCCCTCCTGGTTGGGCACTTTAAGAAGCCGCCTGTGCGTCTGGAGGGGTTTCCTTCTGATCTTGTGTTCTTCAGAGGGGCAGAACCCACCCCATCTTGGCCTTCCAGAGCCCAGCGGAGAGGGACAAGGCAGTTACGCCGTGCCTGCTGGGCTCAGGGGAGGGGGCGGGCGGGTGGCCCAAAGTCTTCACAGAAGCCCCGTCTTTCATCCTTTTCCTCCAAGTTGGCCTTGCCTCTTCTGGTTTCCAGGTGGGCTTTGCCACCGGCCAGGATGCCCTGCTGGGCCTCTCTCGGTGTCCCCTCTGCCAGCTGGAATGTGGGAGCCGGGAGCAGCTTGTCACTCACGTCTATCAGGTACCGGAGTGTGTGAGACCATCGTGCGAGGCTAGCCTGTCCCTGCCCATTTTCCTCTTGTTTCTCTCCGGGTTGCAAACGTAGGAGAGGGAAAGGGGAGCGATGCAGGGTTTAGGACTGGTGGAGTGAGAGACTTTCCCTCAGCCCCAGTGGGCTTGCACCACATCCCAGGGAAGGCCTTGCGGGTCGCTCTCCTTCTTCCCCTCACAGAGGAGGGAGCTGTTCCTTGGCTTGGCTTTGGCTGGGCCCGCATAGGGACACTGAGAGGGGACGGGGCGGCGGGGCCCTTGCCTGACAGCCCGACCCCGTTTGCAGCACACGACGGCTGCCGTCAGCGCCAAGAGCTACCTGTGTCCCGTCTGCGGCCGAGCGCTCAGCTCTCCGGGCTCGCTGGGCAGGCACCTCCTCATCCACTCCGAGGACCAGCTGTCCAACTGCGCCGTGTGCGGGGCACGCTTTACCAGCCACGCCACTTTCAACAGGTGAGAAGCTACACGTGGAGGAAAGTGGGAGGTTCTTGCTTTGAAGCCAGCTGCCGAGTTTGGTAGGCCGGGCGCAGGAAGTCCCTGAGGGACCCAGACGGAGGTGGGACGAGGCTGGGCTTGGCAGGATCCTGTGCGTGGCCAAAGAGGGACCCCCGTCAATAGCCAGGTGTTCACAGACCTCTACCTGCTGGAGGGGAGCTGTAGTGCTTGGGCTGGGAGGGTCACAGCTCAGGACCAGCTGTGCAGAGGGGGCTGCTCAGCATCTGTAACCTACAGCATCTTACTAGACCCCATGCCTGAAAACATCTTGAGCAATCCCCCTTTTTTTGCACTCTAAAGGAGCAACTTGGCTTCATTTCTGGAGCCTGCAAGTGGGCCTTGTGCAGGAAAGTTTTTTTTTTTTTAAAGGAACAGGAAGTTGTTTTCAAGCACCTCCCAACTTTAGCTGTGATTCTTCATGAGCCAAAGCCAGTCTGGGTTAAAAGGACACTGATAAGTTGTCATCTTTTCCCAGAGGGCTTCCCCGTCCCCCTTTCCTTTTTTTGAAAACAAAAGCGGTGGGGGGCATACAACCCTTCCCTCCAGGACGTTTGGAAATTGGCCACTTGTGAGCCTGACTTAAAAGTTTGCAGGGGGAGCCACAAGACTGAGCCGGATCCTGCCCATTTCCCACCCTTGCCTTTTGCAGTGAGAAAGTGCCGGAGGTCCTCTGCGGAGACGCCCTGCCCATTCCTCTCCCCGAAGGCCCTTCGGGTGCACAAGAGAAGGCGGCCCCTGACGCTCTCGCCCCCGCGGTGTATCCTGCCGGCATTCTCCTGGTGTGCAACAGTTGCGTGGCTTACCGAAAACTCCTGGAAGCCCAAGCCCCCGGGGTGCGCAAGTGGGCCTTGCGCAGGCAGAACGAGCCGCTGGAGGCGAGGCTTCAGCGCCTGGAGCGCGAGCGGACGGCCAAGAAGAGCCGCCGGGACAACGAGACCCCCGAGGAGCGGGAGGTGAGGCGCATGCGGGACCGCGAAGCCAAGCGGCTCCAGCGCATGCAGGAGACGGACGAGCAGCGGGCGCGCCGCCTGCAGCGGGACCGCGAAGCCATGCGCCTCAAGCGCGCCAACGAGACCCCCGAGAAGCGGCAGGCCCGTCTCATCCGGGAACGCGAGGCCAAGAGGCTGAAACGGCGGTTGGAGAAAATGGACATGATGCTGCGGGCTCAGTTCGGCCAGGACCCCTCAGCCATGGCCGCCCTGGCGGCCGAGATGAACTTCTTCCCACTGCCAGTGGGCGGGATGGAGCTGGACGGCCAGATCCTGGGCAAAATGGCCTTTGAGGAGCCCAGCCCAAGTGCCCTGCACTGATGCTCCAGAACCAGTGCATCTGTGGCTTTTTGCTGGGGTGTGGCTGCCGTGGCATGGGGGAAGCGTGGAACTGTGTCTGGCGAGGGGGGGTGGCGGCCGAGATGAACTTCTTCCCACTGCCAGTGGGCGGGATGGAGCTGGACGGCCAGATCCTGGGCAAAATGGCCTTTGAGGAGCCCAGCCCAAGTGCCCTGCACTGATGCTCCAGAACCAGTGCATCTGTGGCTTTTTGCTGGGGTGTGGCTGCCGTGGCATGGGGGAAGCGTGGAACTGTGTCTGGCGAGGGGGGGGGGGGGAGGGCAGGGTGCAGTGCAGCCTGAGGTCTGGCGAGGGGGGGGGGAGAAGGGAGGGACAGGTTGCAGCCTGAGACCAAGGGTGGGACCCCAAATCCCTTACTTTCAAGAGAATTTGGGGGAAAAGAACACAATAAATTAATCAAGTCTCTCCAGATTGCTACGAGGTTTACTGAATCAAGGCTTAGAAGCTGAGCGCTCTCCACACCGTTCCTTTGACCTTACTGTCTCAAAGGGGGGGGGAGAGGTGGGTGGATAGGCAGGAACTCCTCTTAGCTATGTGTCCTGTTACCTACTGTGCAACCAGGAGGGAGGCAAGAAAAGTATTCCTTGTCCTTTAGGGAGCGCTGGCTTCTTTTAGGCCAAGTGGAGAGAACTCCGAGCTGGGCTTTTCCAGTGGGGAGACAGAGACACCTCTTGTAACCTGGCACTCCGTCTATGGCTTTCTGCAGGATGGGAAAGACAGTACGTCTCATCACTGCCAGGTCGTCTCCCCCTCCCTCCCTCCCGAGCAGCTTCAAAAAAGCTGAAAGAAGGACAACCTGAACTCTCTTGTAGAGAACCTCCCAAATCTGCTGCTTTGGGGTGATGCGTCTGTTGCACACATTTAGCTCCAGTTTTGGCTTCTGGAGATGCAGAAAATACACTTTGCTCTGACAGCCTGACAGCTATTTGAAGATGGCTATCATCACCTTTCGGTGTTTCTTCCCCAGGCTAAATATACCTAACTTCTTCACAGGACTTGGTTCCCAGACCCTTTACCCTCTTTGATCTCCCTTTCCTAGGCACATTCCAGCTGTTCTTAAAACTCAGGCACCCAGAACTGAATACCTTCTAGCAAACGGGCTCTGACCAGGGCAGAAAACAGTAGTAGAATTATTTCCCTTGATCTGGACATTGTACTTCTGCTGATGTAACCTACAATTGCTGCACCACACTATTGACTTGCTTTTAATAGATGGTTTTGATAGATACTATTTCCAAATTGTCACCCATCCTACATTTGGGCACCTGACATTTCCTGCTTAAATTTAAAATCTGAAGCTCCTTAAATCTGTTTCACACTGGTTCTTCAATCTGTTTCTGTTGTCTTGAATCCTAATTCTGTCCCAAGTATTAGCTACCTCTCCCAGTTCCATGCAAATTTGATTAACATCCCCACTGCTTTTTCATACATGTTATTTATGATGATGTCAAACAAGACCGGACGCAATCTTGCAGCGTGCCACTTCTCCCAAGATGGTAAGGAGCAATTGGTGAGCTCCCTAGGTGTTCTGTCAACAAGCTACAAATCCACTAAATAAGAGGAGCATCAGATAGCAGCTTGGCCAGAAATCAAGATATCCAACTTTTATAGTCCTTTTAACTAATGAGGTGGCAACTCTGTCAAAAAGATACAATCAATCTGGCATGGCTTGTTTTTGAACGACCCATACTTACTGCATTATTTTCAAAGTACTCACAGATTTACTGTCCTGTAATGATCGGTCCTCAGGATAGTAAATCTGTGAGTACTTTGAAAATAATGCAGTAAGTAAGTGTGGGTCTTTCAAAAACAAGTCATGCCAGATTGATTGTATCTTTTTGACAGAGTTGGCCTGGACTGCAAGGAGAACAAACATCCATTTTGAAGGAAATCAACCCTGAGTGCTCATTGGAAGGACAGATCCTGAAGCTGAGGTTCCAATACTTCGGTCATCTCATGAGAAGAGAAGACTCCCTGGAAAAGACCCTGATGTTGGGAAAGTGCGAAGGCAAGAGGAGAAGGAGACGACAGAGGATGAGATGGTTGGACAGTGTCATCGAAGCTACCAACATTAATTTGACCCAACTCCGGGAGGCAGTGGAAGACAGGAGGGCTTGGTGTGCTCTGGTCCGTGGGGTCACGAAGAGTCGGACATGACTAAACAACAACAAAATGATCAGTCTTAGGACCTTTCCCGGTATCAGCAAGGCAGAGGTGGATTTTCCATATAGTTTGATGTCAGATTAGATCCATATTTCTGAGGTTGATGCCCATGTGCACAGGCAACAGCTGGGGGGGGGGTATAACAACTCAGTGCAGCTAGCTTCAGAAAAGGAGAAGCTATCACTGAATGTTTGCATCTGGAGATCACAAACAAGACCTCGGCTATCACTGACTGGCAGGGGGGCACTCCAGAGGTGCAGCTGGTAGAGACACCAAGAAAATCTATTGGTATCTGCAACAGCATCTTGTGAGCAAATTCTACAAGCTTTGACCGAGACTGTTCCCCTTTCCCTTTTGTGTTTTCGCACAATGTCTTCAGTCTGGTTTCAAAACAACAGTATATTGACCACTACCAGTACTGCTAGTGTTGTTGTTGTTGTTGTTGTTTTATCTTTCAAGTCCAGAGAGGTCCTGGATCCATGAAACAAGCAAGAGGCAGAGACAGAAAAGGAAAAGCTATAGTCTTGTAATTATATAGATATATAGATATATGCATATATACTGTTTACATAGTCAACAAGTTAAATGCGGTATTCATAAGAGCATCAACAATAAAAATACAATCTGTGTGTACAGAGACTTTAAATGGTAAAAGAGGGGAAAGGATCTCACCCAAAATACAAATATACAGTACAAATTGATGTATTTAAAACAGATACCAAAAAAGCACAACAAAATAGATTATTCCCCTTAGACTGGTAATGCTTCATTAAAGGTCAGGTAGGAAAAAAGGGGGGGCGCTGGGCATTTGGCTACTCCTAAGGCTTTTTAGGGCCGACACAGATGGAAAAGGTGACCATTAATTAGAGGTTTGCTACGCACATCTTGGTAAGCAGCCCACCCTGACTAAGGTGCTACGCAAAGGATTGCCGGCGGGGCCAGCTGGCCTCTGGATTCACTTCCTTATCTGCCTCCTTCCCAAAGCAGCAAAGGGGCTGCCTTCTCTCCTGCAGCTGAGCAACTGGGGCCAGATCATCTGTTCAAGAACAGTTCTGGGGCTCACGTGGGAAAAGGCACATGGGCACTTGGGAGACCTGAGCCACGGAAGCAGTAGCTGGTACAGAAGAGAGGGAGAAAAGGTTGCCCAGCAAAAAATGCCCTGGCAGAAGCAAAAGCTGCTGCCGCTCCCCACCACCTGCCCCAATGCTGCCAACCCACAGAATGGCCAAGAGGGCAGCCAAGCAGCTGGCAAGCCCGGCTGTATTGCATACGAGGGAGCCCCTCCCCCAGGTGGCTGCACAAGCGCTGTAGTGTAACGAGAAAGAAGTAACTTATTGCTCTGGGCAGATGGCGTTCTCCCGGGCGAGGCGCTTCCCTGCTTGGCAGCGCCGACCTCAGCCTGGAATTAGCGCACAGCAACAGAGGTAAGCCTCTTGAGAGCAGAGGAGTGAGCTATCAGCCAGCAATACTTGGGCCCCGGGAGAGTGGGTGTTTTGATTGCACTAAAGATGCAGAGGGCTGAGAGGTGATATTTGGGGTGGGTGGCGGGTCTGGGGGGGCAGTTCAAGGGAATGACCCGCTCAGCTGCGGCCCAGAAGACTCCATCGTGCTGTGCAGGAGCTCCCAGGCCTCCCCCAAAGGGCAGTAAGCGGACACCCCATCCCTGGTGCCCCACAGCTGGAGGTCTAGGAGAGAAGCAGGGCGTTCAACAGATAGCCTTGCCGGTCTGAGAGGCACAAGGGGGAGAGCCTTGAGGGAGTGGGAGGGGGGGCTGAGAGGAAGTTAAGAGAGGCAGGGCAAGAGGTGGCTGAGAATAGTGCAAAGTGCCAGAGCCTTGGAAGCAGTCAGTGAGGAAACCAAGCCTGCCACCGCTCGGATACAGGGAGCTTCCTGTACGGGTGGGCAGGGACCGTGAGCCGAAGTGGCAGGGGGTCTGTCAGGAAAGCCACTGCTGCCGCGAGTGCTGGGCAAGCGAGGCCTTCCCTGAAACACGGCGGGCCCCATTGGGGAGGGTGGTTCCTACCTGCTGCTCTGAAGAGGGACAAGGGTGGCCCGAGGCCCAGCTGCAGGCTGGACAAAAACCCGAGGCAACTCCTGCTTTTTCCCAGGAACTGGGGGCCCCGACAGGAGGGAAAAGGAAGATGGCTTCGCCCATCTCGCGCACCCAGGCAGTTTCTGTGCCTCTTACAGCCTGCTTCAGGCTCTGTCTGCGTTGGCAAGTGGACAGAAAGAGTTAACGGGTGTCTTCTTATGAAAGAACCTGAACCCTCTTTGCTAAAGAGCTGCAGATCTCTCTGCACGCACTGGGACTTGACACCGTCCCAGTGGCATCCTCTGCCTCCCAGATTGGAAGAAGGTCCAGCCCGGCTTCTCCTAGCCGACCTGGAGACCTGGCAACAAACATTTCAACAAGAACATCGCAACAGATAGGAAAACAGCATTCCTAGAACGGAGGAGTGTCGGGATGACCACAAGAGGGGGGGGGAAACAGCCTGCAGATGGGGAGCGACAGGGACCTGCTGTGCAAATGCATAGACAGGCCTGCTGCTACTTCCCACCCCCTTCCTATTTATTTGACCTCAGTCCTGCCCGGCTGCAGGAACGAAAGACGGCGTGCTCGGGAGTCCAGGCAACATAACCGTCCTATTAACTGACCTCTCACAGGACAAACGGGAGGGGATTGCATACCAATTCTTCCCTGAGGGAGGAGCCCAGACTCTCTCGAAGCAGCCCGAAGGCGGGCCGCTGCAATGCCCAGGCCGACCTGAGCGGAGACCTGGCTGACTCCTTTGGTCCCCATCCGTGGCCCTCCCCTGGTTGTGAAAGTGCCCTGCTACCGCATGTGAGCAAAAGGCCTATTAAAGTGCTTGCACAATGAGGGACGTGGGAAGCCCACCCTTCTCCTCGCAGGAGACGGGCAGGAATGGCTTCCTTCAGTCTCCTCTTTCCCCCTCACCTACTCATGCCTTTCCTTGCCAGGGGGTGGGGGGGTGGAGGCAGCTTTTGTCAGTGGAATGTGTTTAGGCACACCGCTTGGGGAAGGGAAGGGCATCTCTCACACGCCCAGATTATCTGAGCAGCGAGCCAACGGGACGAAGCCCGGTTCAGCAGGGTACCCAGTTCACCCGCTGGAAAGGCTTCACTTCCCTGCATTTGAACGGCCCTCGATGGACAACTTGACCTCTTGGGGAATGAAGGAAGGGCGGAGCAGAGGGGGCCGGGGCTCTTCCCCAAATCTTTGGAAGCTGGGGCCTGCCCAGCCATGCACAGAAATGGGATCCGGCCGGGAAGATGCCTGGAGGGATCCTGGCACCACGCCGCCCTTTTCTGGCTGGCCTTTTTCCCCAGCTTGGGCTTGTATCTCCCGGAGGCTTAGCCTGCCTCGGCCAGGCCTCTCTCGAGCAGCCCCCTCGGGGCTAGTCTGGGGGGCAAGCCTCCCATTCAGGTTCTGTAAACTGATGGAGATACAAACATCTCCCACCTGAAGCTTGTGGCAGGGAAGTGAGAAAAGCCGGGCTGTCCGCTCTGGGCTGCAGGAGGACCAGCCCTGTCCATACACAAAGAAGGGGTGCTCTGGGGGCACATCGATGCTCACTTTGCTCTGTTGCTCGCCAACAACAAAGTGCAGTGTCACAAAGCCCTGCCACGGGCTCTCCTGGAGATCTACTACTGTGCTGGAATCGATCTTGAGACCGCCACTCACCTCTGCACTACGCACAAAGTCTTGGGTCTGCAAATCCTCAACCCTCTTCAGCTCCCCAGTGGCCAGCTGGATGATGGCCCCTTTCATGAAGTGGGAGGGCAAGTGGCTCTGGACTGGGGCGCAATCTGGACCAGGCAACCGCTCGTGAGCTGGGGCTTCAGGGCTTGCTGCACTCCGGCCATCTTGCTCTACAGGCTGGAGGGACCCTAGGACTGCCTTGCCGTTGGCCACCGCCAAACCCTTGAGGATCTGCCTGTGGTGGATCTGCTCCTCAGGGGTTGCAGCCGACTGCCGTCGCAAGTGGTTTTTTTCAGCAGCAGAGGCAGGTTCGGCTGGGCTTCTCGCTTTCTGCTCAGGGGGATTGCGGTGGGAAAGATTCAAAGGGCTCAAGGTATCCTTCTGCTGAGCAGAACCATCAGAGTAATCCTGAGAGGAAAGCACACCCACCACCCTCTGCACCTCCAGGTCTGTGTCTGGGGTGCTCCGCTGAGATGGCACGGTGGCCTCTGTCCTCACACACTGAGCACCTGCTAAGATGGGACCCTCAGCACTGCACTCTATGGTCGTTCTCAGCCACTCTTCCTCTGCTTTGCTCTCCTTCACCCCCACGGCTGATCTCTGCACCCCATTTGCTGCAATCATTTTAGGATTAAGATGGTTTTCTTGCAAAGGTTGCTCTGGGTTCAGGGCCCCGACAGGAGTCTCAAACGTTGAATAGCTTGCAGGATAGTAAACGGGAATTCGGCCCTGTGAAACATCCAACAGCTGAGCCCCGACATGGCTTTGCGGGGGGCCTGGAGGTGAAACGGAGGCCATGTTCTTGCCAAAGTTATGGGCTGCTTGCGGGGAAGGACTTGAGTCTTCAGTGAGAAGAGAAGCGTAGGGTACAAAATGTGGAATGTGAGAAGCAGCCAGACCGGCCGAAGAGGGTAGGAGGTGGCTGGGCAGAAAGCTAGGTGGCACCGCATAGGGCACAGAATAATGGGAGCCCACAAACTGCAAAGGTGCCGGAGGAAGCTGAGTGTAGTGGATGGGCGAGTAGGGAATCCCAGGATGCTGGATGAGCTGGGAGGTCATGCTGAAGGCCGGCGGGAGCGGGCTGACGTTCACCACCGGGGAGAAGCTGGCGGCCGGCATCGCCACTTTGTACACTAAGCCGAACTGGTCCACGGTCCAGAATAATGGGAGCCCACAAACTGCAAAGGTGCCGGAGGAAGCTGAGTGTAGTGGATGGGCGAGTAGGGAATCCCAGGATGCTGGATGAGCTGGGAGGTCATGCTGAAGGCCGGCGGGAGCGGGCTGACGTTCACCACCGGGGAGAAGCTGGCGGCCGGCATCGCCACTTTGTACACTAAGCCGAACTGGTCCACGGTCAGGCTGGCCATCGCCTCAGGGCCG